AGACAAGAATCTCTCCACCTTGAGAGAGATGCTTGTCCATGCCCAGGATGCACCGGCCCGACAGCTGCCCTTCCCCCCGGACACATCCGCGAGGGACCAGCAGCCGCCGAGCACACGAGGAGGTTCTCTGCACGCACCCCATGTCCCTAATCCTACGTATTTTTTTGTCTTTTTTTTCTTTTTGATATTTTTTTGTAGTTTTTCCATTTTATAGTTTTTTTGTAATTTTTACGGTTTATCTTAGTAGCACGACCACGACATGAATATTAGTCTAGTGGCCTCTACATTTCCCACTGCAGTGGTCTCTAGAATGACTCCTAGATCGTCCTCTAGATTGTCCCCTAGATTTTCCTCTTGAATGGTGTCTTGGTTTGCAACGCGTCGATTCTTTTCTTGCTCTCCCTTTATGTGTTTGCTTGCAGCAATCGTGATATTTTTCCTTGCAACATCCATGATCCATGCTGTTTGATGGTCCTGCAGATCTACCTCTGGAATGACTACGGGATCTGCCCCTGGAGTGGCCGCGGGATCTACCCCTAGAATGGCCACGGGATCTTCCTCTGGAATGGCCACGAGACCTTCCTCTAGAATGGCCACGAGATCTGCCTCGGGAGCGACCGCGGGACCTACCCCGGGAACGGCCACGAGATCTGCCCCTAGAGCGTCCTCTAGACCTACCTCGCGATCGATCTCGACTTACAGATCGATCTCTCGAGCGGCCTCTGCAGCGAGAACATCTTGAATTAGCTTCCACTCCTGTGCTCACGTCTAGAGCTGCAGTCTCAGCACTCGGCTGCCCACGGCTGGGCACTGCCACGAGCACTGCTGTCTCCATGTCCTGGATCTCCAACTTCTGAAACACACAACGGAACTTCGTATCGGTTAGTGAAGTATGTAGGTATAGCTGGTATAGCGTTAGATGCAATGTGACTTGCGTCAACTCCTTGTGGTGAATGTGGCTCATCCCACGAACGTTGACTGTTATATTCAAAGTTATTGCGTAATAATTTCAGAAATTGCGCAATAATTGCATTTATTTCATTATTGTTGCGCAACAAAAGGAAAATTCCATTGTCTGCTAATAATAGCTAATATATCGCAATATTGTGAAATTTTAAGTAAGAAGCTACCTACCCAGCGGACTACTGTCATTCCCGACAACCAACCGCAAGGAATAAGAAAAGACGTAAGTATCCACAGGACGTCATTATGATCATATCATCATACCTGTCTCCCATTGGAGTAAGTAGAGATAACATACATACATACACAACCTTATACCTGTACCGGCTCATTCCTTTGTAAAACTGGACTGGGCTTTTGACGTGAACAAGAATAATCTGTATTGTAGATACATATACTTATACATATACTTCATATTATTCGTTGGTTTCTACTAGGTAGATAAATTAATACCCAAGCATTTTAAACTTATCACTGCGAGGATCGCCCGGAGGACACGGTGGAGCATACGGTGGCGATGTGTCCTGGGTGGGCTGAGCACCGCCGTGTCCCCAGGGATGTGATCTGCGACGACGACTTCTCGTCCGGTTCTGGTTCAGACCATGGTACGGAGCGAGGGGGACTGGGATGCCGTCTCCTCCTTCTGCGGCTGCTTCTCTTCGGCGACCACGGGTGGCTTGCCGCCCGACCAGAACCAGGCCCGAGCGTACGACACGTCGCGTTCCGCGCGCGCCTCAAGGAACTATCAGACCACTACAGATGGGGCCCAACAGGGCTGATGCCGATACGGAGCCGCGGAAGACTTAACGGGTTACACTCCCTCCCGCCACACCCGGGCGGGAGAAGTCATTGGTTGATTCTCCCCCTCAAAAAAAAGCATTTTAAACTTACATATATATTGCGCAACATTTACATTTATTGCGCCACTTTTGCACAATTAACCTACTTCAAGTACTGTAGGGTAATAGTGGTAATTTCTTCAGAAAACATGTCGCAATCGCAATATTGTGAAATAAATATACCTACATGAATATTATGCCTGCTATGCTATTAGACTATTGCTATGCTATTATCCCGGGTCGGGCGAAGTATTACTGGGTTTATTAAAAATCTCAGTAGTAGCACAGAGTCTGGACATGTCCGGTATATGTCAATAGGCTTATTTTAGGGACTCATAACATAAATAGTGAAAAATGAGTATTATATTGTACAGTGGCATTAAATCCCGTAAATGCCGATAAAAGACGTGATGTTAGGTTAAGTATGCTATTAGACCTGGATCATAGATCTTTAATATTTCTTTGAGCTGGATATATGGTGTGCTTTTTTACTCAGGTAACTTAAACAAGTTACCTATCGTAAGATATAAAATGCGTAAGTGATTACTAATCCAAATCTTACCTACGTTATTATTTTTGTAATTCTTTCCATTAGGTATTCTAGTTTCATGTATCTTTTATTGGTAGGTATATAGGCTTTTATCTATTTATAGGTAAATCTGATTCTCCAGAGATCGTAGGTCAGGTGGTGCGGTTATCAGTACCGAGGCTGCTCTCACACCAACTTCGACCGCGTCAACATCCCTTACTGGCTGTACCAGAAGCACGTCCAGTGGCCCATGCAAATTCACCGCTGGTCCGAGTACTCATCATTCTCAATTCTCTCTTGATGTCAGCACCAGAGTGTGATTTATTTGCAATGAGATGGATAGTAAGTGTCGTGAATGTCTAAGATTTTGTGAAAGGATAGATGATACGTAGCTAATTACTTTTAATGTTAATGTTTGTTTCAAGTTACAATTACTATGATTACCAATTTTGTTATTCAATTGTATAGGTCTTTGTTAATTTTGTTTATGAATTTTATTAATATTTATTTCTTATATTTAAAATTACTTACCTAATCAGTTTGTTTTTAAATACCTAAATAATAGTATTTATATTATTATAATAAAATTTAATGGCGTCAACTGTAGTGTTACATATGTAAATTTTCTACATAAATAAATAAATATTTAGGACTCAGTTTTTCTTAACCAAAGAATACTAAGAATTAAGTAGAAACTCAACACATAGATATTTCAGTGGCTCAACACCAAGGTAGCACATAATTTTACACCCTGTCAGAGTTAACCAAAGAGACTTAGCTTTTTTTACGGATCACCTGATGGTAAGCAATCGGCGCCGCCCATGGACACTCGAAACACCAAGGCGTTACAAGTGCGTTACCGGCCTTTTGGGAACTGAGAATTTGAGGATTGTGGAGGATTCGGAAGACGGGGACCTGGGGGGGGGGGTATTGGACCTCCGGTAACCTCACATGACGAAATACAACGCAAGCGCTGCTTCACGTCGGTTTTCTGTGAGGCCGTGGTATCACTTCGGTCGAGCCAGCCATTCGTGCCGAAGCATGGCTCTCGCACACTTACCTCTAATAATTTTTTTATAAACTACGTATATACCATTGGAAGTCGGCTAATTAATACTTAAACCTTCTCCTAAGTGTAACAAACACATTTCTGAAATCAGCATCATTTGCGAGATGAGTGCGCACAAACATACATTTATTTATAATAGGTTACAATGGGTTGCTATCATTTTCTAATTTAGCCCGATGACTCACTTAGCACTCCATGCACCTTCCGTCACAATCAATGGATTTATCATGACGACGAAATATAGACCAGTAGGTAGGTACTTACGCCTTGCAGGTTAAAAAGATATGATGTTAATATTTCACAATATTCATCATAGCCAGCCTATAAGTGCCCACAGCTGATCAAGGCACACGGAGAAGGTTTGAGCATTAATCACCACGCTTGCTCATTGCTGGTTGGCGATTGCAACCTTATAATTAGAAATTATAAATCCAGGTTTCCTCCACCGTTTGTCAGTGGTTTCTGAATAATCTTAGAAAGTACATAATA